AATGCAAGGATAGACAGATGAAGGGGGACACATAAAATCAACAAGATCTCTGAGCTAAATGATTTTAATAATGTCAGAAAGATTAATGGAAAGGTTGCAATCTGCATTCTGTGTACGGCTCTGAGGTACACAGCCTCGTAGCCCAAACCATCAGCTATGGGGTTATGGAGAGCATTAGGACTGTGAGTCCTGTTGTGGGTATCTCCCTCCACGTCTATAAATAATGTGGCTTTAGACACAAGCTCTCATAAAGGAACACCATCAAAGGTTCAGTGAAGGGAATCCCACATAGCACGGGGCCTGAAAGGTTTATCTGACTGCTTTAACTGAGACATGAGAAGTTGTTTTTGTAAATGGGTTAAACTGTTTCAGAATGAAGGGGGAAAGTAGGAAGAAGTAATTCCCTGTAAGACTAATGAGCGTTTATTTAAAGCATGAAGTATTACGCATTAAGGTTGTGAACTCACTGGAAAAGTTCAAAGCAGAATGGCCAAAATGATTGCAGCAGCAGCCTTGATAAGTTACGCTCCATGAACACTTAAGAATGCACCTTCCAGGAACTTTACAGCTTCATTTTTTAAAGACTGTCCTTCTGATATACAAAAAAATCATTGTCCCAACATGAGATATGTTAATGAGTAAGTGACAAAGGTTTTAAGTTGTGCTCTATTTTTGACATGAAAGGAGGAAGTCTGATGAGTTTCAGTATTATGTGAAAAATCCGCACAGAGGATTCAACAAAGAAAGTGATTTTTATGCAAGCGACACTTCTCTTTTGTAGCCAATATCAAAATCATTCCTAAACCTTGAGCACATGCAGGGTTAGCAGAGTAACCGTTGTGACCAAACGTTGCCTTATCCTCAATAAATTTGATGTCGCTCGCCCTAACCTGCGTTGTTTCTCTACACAAAAACGAACATTAATCTTATGAGTAATCACGATCGCTCAAGAACAAGCGCTTCTGGCATGGAATTGGAAAGACAGAGTTGCCACTGACCCTGTAACAAGTCAGTGTAACGTCACAATAAATAGAAGTTATGAAATTAATTGAAAGAAAGCCAAATCATAAGATTTTTTTAAAGGAAGATACAAATGATGTTTAGTGAAGACAACTGCTGAGATAACGTTGGTGACATCACAAGGGCATCGTAAACCATTCTCTTAGACATATCTCGTCCAAATGACTTTAAAGCTCTGTTTTCATATACTGAATAGGGTGACCATGACGACACAATTAGTTTCAAATGCATTACATTTATTTTGATTCTATTTAATATTTAGTTTAGTTTAGTTTATTTGCACATTTTTTGAAAGAAGAATCAAACAGAAAATAAAAATAAATAAAAAATAAAACAAAAATGTGCAGGTGAGGTAGAAACCCATGAGGGCTTATCTCAAAACCTCACCTTAAGAGATTAAACAAAGTTAAAATAAAATACAGTATTTGCAGAGCCAATGAAGCTATACTTGACACTCTCAAAATAATTTACATTTCAAACGTTTTAAGCACAGAGACCAACTACATTTCTACATTTCTCTTAAGCACATTAAAACAGATGGTAAAGCTCTCCTCCTTGTACTCCATGTAACTTTTCTTCACAGCTCTGCTCTTCTTTTGTGAGACATATATAATACATGACCGGTATAATTTCAACCTCCTTAGAACCAATCAATCACTCTGGCTGGCCAGTGCTCCGGCTTGACTGCTTTTTCTGTCCGTCCACATGCACTATTCACTGTATTTTTCATTGAGCTCCGGACTGAGATGGAGAACAGCACCTACACCACCTACACCAACTACACCTGTATCAGGACCCAACATGGCCACTTCATTTCCATAGCAACAGTAAAAGTTATAGAACCTGATCTGAGACTGGCAGCCTGATTTTAGACTCAAACTCCACGGCCCCAAAGGAACTCCTGCGGGGATGAATAACTACATTAAAAACAGTCTATATGAGGCACTGCCAATGGTGGAAATGGGTGAGGGGTCAAAGGTGAGGGGAAACACTGTAACCAATCCCCCTGCATGCTGTTGGTCATCCACTACAGGGTTAACACACAGACACTCCATACGCATAAAAACACACAAACATGCACAGATGACGGGTGTATTAATAGAGCTGACATGATTCATTAATGAACCATTTTTTCCATGGTCAGAGAAGGACATTTCAACTATTTGATAGAGATTAATACATTGAGGTTAAATAATTAAAAAAAATATTTAATTATTATATTCTGTTTTGTATGATGTAAACTAACTTCCTTTTTTCTTTTACTGTAGTAAATGTTACTGTTGGATTCCTACCCAAAGGTGTAATAAAATATCACACAGATGCTCTTTGCAGACAACATGTATATAGCTGTTACATTACAATGGGTGGCCTTCTCAAACCCAAACTTTCTTTCTGAATTCTGGCGCTTTTACAGACCATAGTAACTTAGACCCGTTCTCATACTTGCAATACTGTTTTACTTCAGGTGGAAGAAAGAGAGGGGATTCAAATCTAACAATAAAGTCTTGCACTTTTGCTGTCAGTGTGTGAGGGCACCATTACAAGACAAGGGCCACTTCATATTTTTAAACAGGCCATGCACCATTTAAAGTCTGCGCTAACACTCAAACTCGAGGTCATGCCTCTAAGCAACCAATGAGGTTGGGGAGGAATTCTTATAGCTTTTAAACTTTATTACAGATTTATGCAAGTTTCCAGGAACATCATTGTTGTCTATTTTAACAAGTTTCTTCCTTCTCTCCCTTTTCTCGTTAGTTAAGAAAAAGCTTTTTGTTGAGTCTGTACTCTTGCTGAAACTAATGCCAGGCTTACAGGTGAGGCGGATAAAGGAGGGGAATTAGCATACAGCTGTTACAGGCAGGAGAGAGTGTGTGAGGATGTTTTCTCATCCACAGAAGAGAGTCCACATTCAAACAGATTACAATAATGTAACAGGAAACCTTTAGAAGGCAGGATGTTAAAGTCTCCCAAAACCTTTTATCATACAGAGAAACACCCATTTAAAGGGATGCCTCTCATGTGCAGCAACAAAAACAATTACAGAGTTTTATGGGATGAAAGTGAGCTTTTATTGAGAGATATTTCAGAAGGGAGCTTCCCTTATCCCCCCCATACTCTAAAACACCTGCGTACAGACTTTCTAGAAACGACACATCTGTTTCAGTGTCCCCCCCCCCGCTACAACACAGGACTAATTAAAGGATCAAGGGAGGTTAGCATGGCTCCCTACACAGCAGTGTACTGTTTCATTTAATTACAATAGATCAGCACCACTTTAATTGAGCTTCATCACACAATGAATTTCCCTCACGAGGCGCAGCTCTCAGCATGGTGAGCCCCGCACATGAAATTAGTCAAAACAAACGCACAGCTCGGGGTGATCATGGGAACGATGCAACCTGCTAGACATATGTTCACCCAACATATATCACAACATAGGGCAAGGAATTTTCAAAAGCCAAGCACATTTTGAGGCTCTTTTATTTTGTAATAATGTTAAGACAGCCCATATAAAAAGGAGAGTCAAGACGCGGCTCACTTCTAAAGTAGGTCCAGCTCTGTCTTTGGGGACATCTGAAACTTGATCTGGGCACGTCAGAGTGCCTGCTCTGCCTTCTCTGACAGAAATACAACAATAGTGGCAGAGCTGCCAGCCAGTAATGTCAGGGAGAATGTCACCCACATCTACCCTGCAAAGGCCATTGCTCTTAATAGGAAGAACAGGGTGGAGGAGGTGCATGACATGAAGTTCTGCATGAGCTGCAAAGACATGTCTGTGATCCTGTGGTAATGGGGAAGGAAGAACCTCGAAAGAGAAGAAGTGAGACTAGCCAATCCGAAGTCAAAGATGTGCAGCCGCTGAAGGACGGGAAGACATTTGAGTCGTGGCTCTGCAGCGGGATTTCCCTCTGTTATACACACTTTATGGCAGCGGCATGCAGGACACTGCTGTACTTGTTTTAACGATGACAGGGGAAAGCACAGCCCGGTCCAAGGAGCACTCACAAGTGTGCTCTGTCCACTGGCACAACTGGAAAACAGCTGCTGGTGCATGGCTGTCCTTGAAAATGTCTGGAAATATACTGACACACTTGTGAACTGGCAAATACTTTCTAAGTGAACTTTGACTTTTAAAGAGACACTTTAGAGCACTCCTGTGCTTTGTTAGTTATGAATGAGGTTAATTTTAAATCTGAAACACGTGCATTTTCAACCACATGAAATATAGTACAATTTGGTTTGGACAGATGAGTGCTGAATGTTTCACATGTAAGTCCTCTGCTGTCGGTCGGTCACTGTATAAACAGCCACAGCGTCCTGTTACCTCACACTTTTCCAGTGTTTACATGTTGTTTACATTATAGAGCATATGGACGGAGGGGTACTTTAAAGCTCTGACAAAATGCCTTCTACAATACAGCGGGGGAGTTGCTTTAGTGTGAATGTTAGATTCAGTGCATAAGTTTCATTGGTGAGATTATCACTATCATTATCAAAAAAATGCTGTAACAAACAAGTAAGTTTGCAATGTGTGTACCATTGCAAACTTAAATCAAACGTAAATCCCTGAGTCAAGCAAAGAAAGACACGCTTGAAAGTAATTGAGCGTATTTTGATTTTTGTCAATCACATTGAATCAAATTCAATTAAACCTTTTGGGTCCTCCTGCTGATCTAATCAGATAGAGTCAGGTGTAAATTGAACACAAGACCCCTGTTGTGATGATGCATGGCACAGGACCCTGCTAACTGCTGCATATGCAACTTTGCATGGTTAATTGGACAATTCATCAACTGACTGCTGGCATGGAGCCTAACTGATCAAATCACATGACTGGCAACAAGTCCAATGAAGCATGTCTTAGTAACATATGGCTTCACTCTCTCGATTTAAGAGATGTTAAAATAGTTGTTACATGAAAAGAAACGTGCAGTCCAGTATAGGCTAAAAAAAAACAACTATGATAAAGTTTTACTCACATGAAAGCGTGGTAGATGAAGGCGCATCCTCTTGGTCTTTCTAGCACGTTGTAGAGACAGTTCTGCAACTTTCTGAAGCGTTTGCTCGAAGCGGATGAGTTGGCTCTCGGTCCCGGCGGGCCGGGCAGCGGGGTGCCCAGGAGCCCTGTGCGGTGAGACGGGTGTCCGCGCTCCGGTGTGGACGGCTCGCTCCTCTCCGTGTGAACAGCGGTGAGAGCCACGAACTCTACCCGCCTGTCGTCGTTCTGAGCCGGGGGCACCAGCATTCTGATACCGCCGTTGTTGGACGGACTTCCTAACATCTTCTTCAGACTACATAAGATTAAACACTTTTCTGACTAGATGACCCGAGAGAGCGCACTGCAAAGTTTTGCCCAAGTCATGGTCCGGTTTGTCATGGCTTTAAAGTGGACCAAAAGTAGGCTTGCGATCAAAACCCACTTGTGAATATCATCACTGTAATCCCGGTTTAATAAGTTCAGATGTTATCTGTAAATCAAGTCAGGGTCGCAAAAGAAAAAAAACATTCAGTATGGGGACAAGTGCGTCGCGCTAAAACCTGACCTTCAGCGATCATTGTAAAAGAGTCAGTTATTATGATAAGTAATCAGCCGGGTGCAGAGAAGTGATTACACACGCATTAAGTCCAAAGTTGAGTTGCTAACCTGTCATTACTTGGCAGGGATGGTAGTCCAAACAGGTAAAGTATCTAAAACCTGCTAAATCACTTATCAAGGCTACAAAACAAGCAAGCGCGTAATGGTCATGTCTCGTCTCCATAAAAAAATAAATAAAGGCTATATAACTGCAATAAGAAGCATTTAGTCATTAAGATCAGCTAAGCTGTTTCCTGTAGTGTAACATCAGCTTGCTCTTCCCTCCTCGCGCGTCTCTCTGCTCCAGTGCTCCTCTGCTCCGGCGCGCGTCGTGGAGCGCGCACAAGTGAGGAAGACCAGTAGTGTGTGATGTGTTTAACCGCAGACGACCAACTCTAAAAACTCTGAAGAAACGCCAAATAAAACGCCTGCTGATGTTTGCATCTGGTTGGTAAAAGCTGACAAAGATGAAACACCCTCTTTTCGGAGAGTTGGCGCGCGGAGGAAAAGAGAAAGGAGGGGAGGAAGTCGCGCACGCGGACCACAGCATGCAGAAAACAGGACAGGTATTTTCTCATCAAGAGTTTGTTATAAGGGTGGGAGGTTTCAAGTACAGCTAACAACTTTTGATAGGAACTGCTGCTTATGAATGTGTGGCAAGATGTTTTTCAACTCCACCCAAAGGACCTAGGGAGAAGATTTGAAGTACCAGAGTACCAGTACCAGAATGTTTCATATGGTCAGAGTGCGTTTCATACCTTTTCATCATCTTCCAGTTGTTGAACGAGCTATAACCTGGAATTGACATGGACTTATGAAGGCTTTTAGTGATTGATTACGTAAAACAAGAACAGTCAAAAGAGGCAACCATTGGATGCACAAGTTAAAGAAAATTGGTTGCATTTGATTTAGGTTTGACAGCAAAGCCCTCAAAGCTTTTCACATTCTAAGTTGTATTAAAAAAGAGAACAGAGAAAATCATTACAAATTTCCATCCCTCATGTGGAGTTCTATTACAAAGAAACAAAATAAAGGATGTTTTGTCTGCTTGTTTTGATCCCCATTAACTTCAGTATAAACCCAATCTCTTCTTCCTCGGGTCCTCAGTTTCCATTGTGACAATAAATTTACTCATTTACATTATAAATCACAAAACACAAACATTAGGCAGCCTCTTAGAGGATTGCCATTTGTGCTTATAGTGGGAGGGGGGTAAACCGCGACAGGCGTTAGGGAAAGCAGAGACAGGTGCTGGGAGAATCAGCGACACACCGACAACAGTAGACAGATCTTTTTCTAAATCTACGACTGTGACACACACACAGGCTCTCTGTGGTTATGACACAAACCCACAGTGCCCTGTAGAGAGATCACCTGTCAGAGGGGCCTCCGAGGAATGCATGGCGAGGTGGTCCCCAAACTCCCGTTGGCCTCACTGTATCATCTGACCTCCACATGCGACTTCAAAGATAACTCACTGATCTGTTTATATAACAGGTCAAATGTAAACCTGGACATGCTGTTGGTTGGAATCCTGAGGAGGAAAATAATGGAATTTTTCAAATGAAGAGAAAATGTGCTCTCCTTCTTCTGCACATCATCACTGAAATCTTTATCTGGAGTGCATGACGTGAAAGTTTGACACATTAGTAACTGATCATCTAACATGACTTTGTTTACAGTGTTCCATAACAACAGCAGGGCCAGGTTACTCCATCGTGTCTACTGCAGTTTATGGAACATGCAGGTCTGTGTAGTGACGTGTGGGAATGCAGCTGGAGTCTCTCACAAGTCAAAAATGTCGACATTATTCCCAGGGCCAACTCATATTACATAACTATACATCACTAATCCTCAAGTCTTTACTCAGCGTGGCACATATAGACTCACTGTTGGCTATACAACGGAATCGTGTGTTGACAGCTGTACCTCTTTTGGCAATGTGTTAATTCAGACAGGGACTGTTAAACATGAGTGATTAGTATGATATGTAGGGTAAAGATTTCCAAACGGATTTTGTTCCACACGGTTTGATTTGTTTGTTTTAAATTACAGATAGATTCATTGGTAGAAGTTTTCCTCCGATAAACTGATCAATCATTTAGTCTGTACAACTTACAACTTATTATATGAATAAAATGTAGGTACCAAGAATATGAAATATTATGTATTTGTTGCTTGGGTTCTTATGGTTTTTGGGTTAACTTTTGTTTTTGGTTTCTTTTTGTTGTTTGGTTGTTGTTGTTTTTTTTTGGGTCAGATTCTCGTACTTTGTTGTGTATATATATATATATATATATATATATATATATATATATAGTTATTATTATGACAAAATGTCAGACATTGATTAAAGATGTTCACTAAAAATGTCAAACACCCAAAGTTTTTCATGTGCACTTCATTTAGTCAGTTGGCCAGAGCAAAATGCAATACATGTTCAATTTCTACAAAAATACAAAAAGTAGATCAAATCAGTGATCATGTATATATAGTCTATGATTTATTATACTACCTAAATGATTTTTTAGAAAGCAGCTAAAGTCTTAACCGCGCAATCCACTAAATAAATAGAACCAAACCTGTTTCCCCATAACAGATAACACCGAAGTCAAAATGCAAATGACTTGTTTTATTGTATTTTTATTTTTAAGATATATAGATACTTTATAAATTCACAAGGGGAAACTCAAGTTTACACCCTTATTGAGAGAAACACACACACACACACACACACACACACACACACACACACACACACACACACACACACACACACACACACACAGTGGACATGCTTTATAGAGAGATGTCAGAGTGGGGCTTCTATAAGGGAGCACCTCTGAGCTGTTGGAGGTTCGTTGCCTTGTTCAAGAACACCTCAGCAGAACTCGAGCAGTGACCTGGCACCTCTCCAGCAACCAGACCAATTTCCATCCTTTGGTACGTACCGGGACTTGAACCGGCAACCCTCTGGTTTCCAACCCAAGTCCCTAGCTGAGCTACTGCCTGCTAAAACCTCATCCAGTTGGGTTTAAAACAAAAATCTTGTTTCTGTTGGCAAACAACTAAATCCAACTTCCTCGATTTATGATCCTTCTATGGGGTTTTGTTTTTAAGTAGTGTTCAGTAGTACTTTGGATAAGAATTGGTTGAATAGGTTATAAACTGCTGCTCATATTGAACGTATGAAAACATTGATATCACACTAAGTTAAAGCACTAATTAACAACAAATGAAGGCTCAGCCTTCAAGTAAGGGATAAAACTGACCTCCCACTTGTGTATGTCAAGGTGTGTACTTCTCACTTCTTAGAATAGTAATGTGGCTGTAAATAACAGATAGAGGAGGGACATGGGATCTAATTTGAGAAAAGGGTAATTTAAGAGTCTTGTGGAGTCTAACCACACCATGATGAATGACGCAGGTGTTACCTAAACATCAACAAAACAGCATCCTGTACCAGGGATCAGCCTCTACAAACGGCTCTCTGTTAGCCTGGCCTCCTCCATCTCCTCCTCCGCCTCTTCGTCTCTCAGCTGTCCAAACCAGGCTGAGGAAGAAGGTGTCGATGGACAGGGCGGCCCTGCTTCTACCCCCTGGGGGATTTACATCAAAGTTTCTCAGGAGCCAAATGCTCCCCCTCTTTCTACAGCATTTATCCCATCCAGTTATCAACACTGAGAGTATCCAACGTGACAACACACAACAGCTGAGCGAGGTCACACTGTCAAATATGTATCGGCTGCCTGAAAGTACAAACAGCCTAGACTGTAAGGAAGGGCTCACACACTCATACTCGAAGATTTGGTGGCCCTCGGAATGCCATGACAGTCTGGGATGACCCCGAGCAGACTGCAGGGTCCCAGTGTTAGGAGGCGATTGTTAGGTTCCCTTCAGGCTCACCTCTTTCCTCTCTCTCTCTCTCTCTTGTTTTTCCACTGCACTCGTCACTCTGAGTGTTCACTCACGCCCCACAGAGCCCTGCTGAGCTCTGGGAGTCGACAGCCACTCGGGGGAATATATGGGAACTTTGAAATACTTACATCAGCACTTGTGCACTACACATAGTACAGTTTGGTCTCACTCCGTCCGACCCCCACCAACCTTTTGTTTCCGCTGCGCACTTGGACGTTTCCTTACACCACTTAATGGCTTTCTCAGGCTTCACTCTTGTTCTTTAACCTCTTTTCTCTTCTTCATTTTATCCATTTCCTCCTCTTGAACCCAGTTTGATCCAAACGGGATATATCAGAGAGACCAAGAGAGGAGGGGGGCTAATGATTTGTTGATTTAGTGACTTTTATGTTGGATTGATGTGGTTTTGATACGTCTGGTTTTGGTCTTAGGAGAGATGAAACGAGACACAAAAGCAGCGCTGCATTTAGAGCAAGAATTCCCCCACAGAGAAAGACACTCTAACCATCATGTTGTCACAGTAAAACTGTCAGCTGATGTGTCGCAGCTTTCCTGTGTTAAACAATTAGACAATCTGCCTTTCAAAAGGCAGGAATATGTAAGTGACTGAGTCAGGAAATGACAGTACTTTGGTTTGAGACCTCTGTCAATGGCCAATTCAGGAGCAGTCAAAAGAGCCTTTGTAACCACTCTTATTCCTTTTAGAGCTGGGACTAAGCACGCTCCAGCTTGGAGTGTGGAGAGTGTTACTGACAGCCGGTTAGAGGGGTGGAGGGCGCGCCATCAAAAACACTACCTCACTACAGACACGCAAAAACAAACTGAACTCATACAAGTCTGGGCTATAAAAAGATACTGTTCACTCTAGTTTAAAATCAGGAGGATTATAAAACATACACAAGGCCTTATGAGATGTTAAAAAAGGTTTAAAGGGTTTAAATTTAAAGAAAGAGGTAAAAGAAGGAGCCATAAAATACAAGTTTAAAGTGCCTGTTCCATTTGAAGTTTTCCAAAAAAAGTATTTTGAGTTGTTGAAAAGCTGTAACCACAATGAATCTCACATTTCCTTTTTTTTCTTTTCCTAATTCACCTGAATGATTTGGAAGGGGATCTTTGCTGTCTTGAGGTCAGAATGTATGGGATAAATTAAGCAAATAGATCAAACCTTTCCTCTGGATTATATTTTGTTGGTGATTCTACACTCTGACCTTTTTGTTACGGAAGACAAGGGATCTTGGATCATTAAAACCGTCACATTATTCTTATGCAACAGTAAAATGCCAGGACCTGGGAAAAGCTTGCATTACAGTTTGACGGTGATCAAAAGAAACTCTCCCAACACCTCCGCGAGAGGGAAAAGAGGATCAAACAAAAAAACCCATCCAAGTGAATGTCCACTCCATTAAGGGTTGGTACCCAACTTGGTGAGACTAACTGGTCTTATGGCCCAATCACAAGGTCCAGACTGCAGCAAATGGCCCCAATCCCTCTGGAACTGGTTGCCTTGATCTGACCAGACGAGCCGGCCAAGAAAAATAACAGTGGACAATCCTTTTCATGCTCGACTTAAGCTCAAACATTCTCAAAAGCCTTGCTGCTCTAATTAGAAAGATCCGAGCATGAGTCTGCACTTGTTAATGCAGTTATTGTTCAGTGATTAAGTCAATTAAGAAAGGGCTCTTCTGTTTGACTCAGGGTTTACTTGTGGCTCTGACTAAAGTGGCTTAAGCAAACCACTGTGAAGTTAGCAGTTTTTTGGGTGCATGCGAGGTGGGAAATCTCCCCAAAGTGCAGGTTTTGAACATTCAAACTGAGAAAATGTCAAGTGTTAGTGTAAAGAAGGATGTTTTTAAACACTGTGCATCTCGTCCACGCTTTCTTTTTCCACAAAGATAACTTTAAAAAAAATATATATATATTTAGGTCAAATAAAGATTGCCGTCTGATCTTGCAGGAGCTGAGCAGTCTCCAGCCAAACAAGCTAACTTGTGACTCTATTGTTAACTGCTTGCCCCTCGTATCCAATAAAAACAAAATTGGGGGGGGTTGGTATTGTCTGATGCAGATCCACTGTGGGTGGATATCGGAAAGATATTCTATGCTGCTTAAACAATGGTTCAAAACTGTTAATTTGTGTTAGGTAATAAATCAGATTCCCAATTAGAGTGCATCAGTGTGTTGGATGAGTGCTGCCCTCTTGTGGCCATCTGAGAAAACAGCACAGGCCACAGTGATACCAGACCCTAATATTTGTTGTGTTTGATGTTTCAATGATTACAATGAGCCTGGCCCATGACAGACATTTTTGTCATGTGATATCACTTTGACCTAATACCTTCATGTCGCTGGTTCTGTGTGGCTCTGGTGATGAGATAGCAGGCTGACTGGTTGGGTGTCTCATCACTTGCTGTGCTGTTTCCTTTGCTCCTGCCTCCCTGTCTACAGTCCACACACTGCTAAGCTGCTTAATTCACCTAAAATATGACAGTGAAAACAACGTTAAGTTCTTGATGACACAAACTCAGAAAATAATACAAGAAAAACTTTTGGACAAGTTTTTATTTTTTCTCACAAACAAAGTTTGTTTACAAAAACGTCAAAAATAAAATTGTACCTATCTAATGCATGTCATGCTGGCAGTTTGAACTACATGCAGAAACAACAATAATAAGAACATTGAAAATAATCATTACTGTACAAAAAAAGGGGGAAGATGTTAGGCCAAAACATCAATTCAGGACTGGAAGTAAAACACTATTGGTCAACTGAGACTTCTATAAAAAGTTTTTTTTTTTTTTTTTAAGTCATGTGTTTGTGCATGAGACTTAAACCACCGGGAAAGAGGGGGGTGGTGGAAGCTGCATAGAGGCAGAGAAGGATTCTCTGCTCTTAAAATGGGGAGGGGCGAAGAAATATGGAAAGAAAAAAAACACTGCAACAGTGTGGACACTCAGAATAAGCACATGCATACGCATCCTCACTGATTTAATCTTTTCAGTTTGCTTCATCTTAACGTGGAAAACAAGACAAAAGAGAAAGTACATGAAACATTATCATTGAACCTCACAACCTCTTATGGAAATCCCTTAGATTGACTTGCTTTAAAAAAGTGAAATCTGAGGTATATGGCTTCATTTCATCAATCAAAAACACAAAAAACAATTAAGAAAGTATGATTCTTGTCCCCCCGCCCCCAAGAAGAAAAGCAGCAGGTGACGGATCCCATCTTAAACCCTAGATGTGACAGGTGCAGCTCATGTACACGGAGACAGACACTTTTCCAAATTTATTCCATATTGAAAGGAAAAAGGAGCCGGGAATAAAGCACACACTCGTGTTTTTTAGAAAAATATTGAAGTGGAGACATGAAATAGGAGGAGGGAGACAGGCGGCAGGTGGCGGTAGGGGACAAAAGTATAAAAAAGTGTCTGAACATGGATGTAACTAAACATAAATATGAAAAAGTCAATTTAGTGTCCCTTTGGCTTTTTGTCCAGTGTACTAAATGTATGACCAAAAGAAGAGTTTTAAGATTCCAGGTCCGCCCTCCATCTGAGAGGGGCTTCAATTTAGGGTTATCAAACGGTGGCATCATGGGCTTGTAGGGGCGCTGTGTATGTGGAGAAAAGCTTCCTGGCCGGACTCATTCAGTGGTGACCTGCGTGACCTGTGTTTCACCCGCCTGGTTAGTGGACTGAATGAACATTGGTTGGGTCAGCTCCTGTCCTGCTGGCATTGTCACCTGCTGAATCTGATACAACTGCTGTAAAACAGAAGAAGGAGACACAGAAACAAGAATGAAGATCTCTGAGGATCTGGATTCCAACGAGATAACATCATACCTGAATGTTTGAAAAGTCTTAATTTGTGGAAATGTCCTTCTGCACATTGTGTCTATATATAAATCTTCCATCTGCTGGGAAAAGGACGTAACCACATTTTTCTCTAATTCTCATCAGAGACGCATTGCATTTTTTTTATATTGACATTTTTCTTTAGGTCCCTTCAATTTCTAAACAAACAGTCTGTTTAACACATAAACATGTATACCATCTTTCCTGGTTTGCATTCAGTACATTGCAATAGTTCAATAAAAAATATTTGCTCATAATGTTATTATCTCCCTTACAAAGACATTGTCTGATGAATTAACATCATACTGTACATCTGAGAAGATCTTCTGAAATGAAAGGGAAAGAGCCACAATGTTGAAAAAGATTGATGAATGACTTCATTTTATGTCTTGTCTCTAATTAAATGCTATGGCGGATATTTGATTTTAATTGGATCTTGATCTCAATTAATTTTGCATCCAAATACGCACCAATATATTATTCTTCCCAATGATTGTCATGCATGAAATAAAGTTCTGAGAATCTAAACAAAACACAGGTACTCCATCGGGTTTGGGGGTTTCTTCTGCTTTGTTTTTTTTGCTATTTTTTTTCATTTGATAATAAGAGTGCAATGTACTTTTTAAAAAAGTAGATTACTATTATTTTCTCTTGTCTTCTTATTTAACTGTTTTTTAAATTCATATAAAGACTGTTGTAAAAGTGTCATGCTTGTATGTTTACTGTGAAAAAACATGATTTAAAATTGACACTGTGGTGGCAGATTAAACACACTAGATATGGTTTTTGCATGTCTTACCTGTCCGTCAGTAAACTGGTTGAACTGCTGCTGTCCTTGCTGTACTTCTGCCTGAGTTATCTGAAAACCAAAACAAGTTCTAATTAAATTCACATCCAAGTACCATACATTCCTAGATATCAGACAGTTCATTTTTACGAATGTTATTTTTATTGTCATTGTCTTTACCTGCTGGGTGTTGGCAAGAGTCTGAATCTGTCCTTGGACCACTTGGGCCCCAGACACAGGCTGAGCTAGACGAATGTATTGTAGTTGGCCGGTGTTAAGCTGCACCTATATTAAACCACCACAAGGGGGAGACAAAGCTTAGTTTTTGGGGAAAAAAGGTCCTTCAAATGCAGAGGTCACAACCATTTTCCTTCTCTGGACAAAAATAATCATTCACTTCTCTCCAGTGATTTGTTAACTTTATTAAACAGGCTACATAACTCTTTTAATCTTTTCCAACCAGATACCACCCATTTATTCCCATCGTTCCCCTCCCGGACCTAGTCAGCCGCATCTTGATTTCTGCCTAACCAATTATCCTCTTATAATTCCTATCACTATTTTATTTCCAGCTCGCTTTTTTTTCCCCTTACCGGGATTTGCTGGATCTCTCCTGTGTTGGTGATGATTTGCTGCATGACCTGCATGGTCTGGCCTTGGGCTTGAGCTGTTTGAGCTTGACCCTGCGCAGCTTGGACAATCTGTACCTGTTGACCCTCACTCACCTGCATGACAGGTGCACTCTGATGGAGAGCAAATAAAAAGGGAAAAAGAAAGCACAAAGAGAGAGACAGAAGAGCAGGGAAAGAAGAAGTGGCACATTAGTTGATAAACAAAAGTTGGCACACAGGCATGGGGTTTATGATTGACACTGGGCAAAGCTCAGTGAAATCAACAACCATCACAGAATAAGATTTAAAGCAGTATTTTAAAAATCGTTCAAATAATTGTCAGGCAGGAAGGAATGATGTCGAGCAGGAGATGACACAGCAGATTTTGTGACCTCTCTTTCTCATCTGTCTGTCATACTATCTGGGGGAAAGCCACCTGATCTCACACTGCAGTCACCCCTACAGACCTCAGCCATCAGAGCAGGACACAGTGTGTGAACCGCAGTCACCTACAGGCCTCTGTGTGCAGTTTGCGAACATGTAAATGCACGTGTTCATGCATGTTTACCGTGATGGGTGTGCCTTGTGATTGCACCTGCACTTGCTGAAACTGTTGCATGGTGGCACCTTGCAGCATCTGATGGCCCAACAGAACAGGATGAGAAAAATGAGAGAAAGACACGGTGAGAAAGAAAGCAGCGATTGCAACAACTTAACTTGAACATAAGCGTGTGAAGGCTTCAATATCAGAGCCAGCAAACAAAGAAATAAAAGCAGCAAATAACATTTAATGGCGTGTTTATGAGTGATGAAAAAGCTGAGGCGAGAAACAGGACAAGGAAATAATCACAGTGGAGTTTGGACATACAGTGTATGTAAAGCACAGTTGCATTCAAAGCACCTTAATTTACGTCAACTGTGTTTCATAAGTTCTTATTAAAGACAGAATTGGGATAACACTGAATGATCAGATTTGTGTCCATCACCTCTCTGTTCTACCAAAAAACAGCATGTGTCTGATGGGTAGATGCATGCTAAGCAGCTGCATCTTACAGCAGCAAACTGTTACTCCTCATGAGTAAATAAATACAAAAAAGAGGGATACGTGTGACTAAGCTGTAAGACAACAAAACAGATACCATTCACATTCAATACAAAACGAGATGGGGATAATTACAATCCCCATCTGTAGAGTGCTAAGTTTAAATATCCTACAATGAGTCAATGTAAGGTGGGGTGTCAAACTGTGACCTCTCCCCTTTCAATGAGGACTGCAGCAGTATATGCTGCTACTGAATAAAGTTAGGCCTAAACGAGTATGACAGCTCAGCTAAAGGCAGTGTGCTGAAGCAGCATGAGGCAGCATGAAGCAGCACAGCAGCGCAGGACCCACAGCTACGTGCCATGCAAAGACCAAGCTGGCAGCGAGAGAGGAGATTAGAAAGAGAGACAATAGAATGTTTTCTAAATATACACATTTGGTGGTTAAAAACACCGAGATCCAGAGGGGAAACGCACTCTAGAGCTCTGACTACTGCGTGTGTGTTTCCTTTTTGTACAGAAACAGAGTGTACAGAGTGTGTATGGTGTGTTGTAGGGACCTGCTTCCATTAAAAACAGCGACTGAATCTTAGTTGTTTCTCATTTCTCTGAGTCACGCAGCAACAGCAAAGAAAAAGAAACATTTACAAAAATACATGAAAAGCGTTTGATAAGAGAGTGAGGAAAACTACTATTTTTTGTTATTTACTCTGCTAAAATGTGCACAGGTTATGGAGCCTATCATATTTTTTTTAAAAACACACATTTATAGCACTAGTTTTCTTTCTTGTATTGTTTTTTGAAGAAAAAAAACCCATTACAATTCATAAAAGTAACTATCAGATTTCCTTTGGCGAAGGGTTTCCTCTGAGAGAGAGGGGATACATAAAGGATGTGTAGTTGTGTGCACTGGGAATGTTCTGAAGTTTGGTTATTCCTGCTCACCAAATGTGAGCTAGGACTAACAAAAAAAATACAGCCAGGTTTGATGGCCTCGGTAAAAGGACTTTGACAGCATGATCCCTAGGTCTGTCGGGAGTGAAAATGCTCTTCTTGGGAGAGGGAATAAAACCATCAATTAAAATATGTTTCAATTAAGAAATGGATGTTAACCCACTTATAGTTTGTTTTGTTGTTCAACTCTAGTTTATATCACTCCTACTTACCCAGGTCAAACTTCTACTTTGTTTTAAATTGTCACATCCATCTACGGTTAGCTTTTGTGGTTGCCTCTTTAATTCTTAGTGTTGGTCATTTTCAAACAATGCGTCCGTGGTACCTGTCCTTGTTGGGGCTGTGCGATGATAATCTGCCCTGGCTGAATGGTCGTGGCTGCTTGTGCTCCAGCCTGCTGGGCAGACTGTGTCCCCTGCACCTGCACAGCTCCAGGCTGCTGGGCCAAAGTGAAGTAGTACTGCACGGGCTCGGCTGGAGCTACCGACTGACGCATCTCCTCCTGAAAACCATGCACAAACACACACATGTTGAAAAAGACCCATCATTCTCTTGGATGTCCATGGATTATTTTTTTGCAGATGTAACGGTAGAGGAGGTCAGTACTGTTAAATAACTGATGGGATGTGGCCAGGGAGGAGTAATGCTATCTTGACATAAGATCCATTACAGGCGAACATACTGGTCAGTACCATTGACTGCTGGTCTAGAGGAAAGCTACACTGAACATTCTGATGTTTCCTTCTGACTCCAGTGAGATATTCATAGCTTTCAGTCACATGACTGACGCAGAAGCTTGGAGGGCAAAAAGGACTTAGGAAAGCAGCAGGCACAATTGAACACACTGTGGAGCTGCAGCACGAGCTTTTTAATGTTCCATCTCTTCAAAAGGACACGTTATCATCACCTGACAACCACAGAAAAACGGACATTAAGATAACCTGCAAAACAGCACATAAGACACTATTTTAAATGGTTAAAACATCAAAGTCATTGCCAGATGTTTACATACAGTATCTATGAGGTGGCGAGTCCTTCCCATTACACTGCTGCAGGATACATGTCAAAGCCTAGAAAAGTGGCTCAACTGGTTCAATATTACTACTGATTTGGAAGTGAAGGGCAAGAAATGATTCTTCATCAAAGCCTAGGTGCTTATTAGCTAACACTAGCTAGTTAGCATTACCAATGATAGTATCAGGATCACTGTCAGCTGTCACTTTCAGTCACGCTGATGTTAGTTTTAAAAGGCAGGAATATTTTGCTCAAGTTAACACAATATTTTCTGGCAGGATTAGGAGAAGTCCGTTCTTTTGTTCCCTCAAGTGACAGCGGAGTGTCTAACAGCATTTATCCACAAATCTCCTCCTCTCAGGGTTTTTCTGTAGTCGCACAACCTGACCTTGTCCCCTCTTTGGTTAGGCATCCAACTGAATAACAACTGTTTTTTTATATAAAACAACAAAAGATAAAACTGGTTAAAATGCATATGTGGCCTGGTAACTTGAAGTCTTTCTTGCCTGCCAGGTGGGCAGTTGCAGAAGTGTGTGACGTCACGTGGAAGCTATGGATGTAATAGTTATTGATTTATCCATACATGCGCCGTCTTTGTGCCTCTTTTTGGTCAGACTTCACAGTTGCAGTGTCAAAGGGTTTGTGGGGATTCTGTTTACTCAGTTCAGCAGGTTAAATGCTCGTCAATATGGGAGCTTTGAACCCACGTTTGACTGTAATGAGAAATAAAATGAACACCATAGTACACTGAGCTGTGTCCTCCTGCTGTGCTAACGAGCAGGGCTTCATCTCGGTGACGTTTCTCCGTCACCAGAAGCGTAAACACCCCTCTCCCAGCTCCATGACAACACAGCTGAGAGTGTAGGATGTTTACATGCCTGGAGACAGTTTTCTTGACAACACATTTAAATATCTCATACCTCCAGCTGGTAGCCTATAATTATACAGCACGTCAATCTCCCGCATGAACTTAAATTCAACTTCATTTGTTAAAATATTATTAAATCAGTCCCTGGTAGAAGAGACATTTGCTTTTTAGCTACTAGTGATACAAACTGAATTGACAGTTGGCTGTCAGAGGCAATAAGATGCTGCAAACATCCGACTGAAAGCCCTCTGCACAAACCCCAGCTTCCAGTCAAGGATGTTTACAGCACCTCCAGTTTGCCAAAGGCGGAAAGCACCGGAGATGAAGGCGGGACTTATCAGCACTTTTTTCTTTTACTGACTTTACTGTGTAAGAAAGTTCCATGTGTAGGTATTAATATAATCCTGCATGTTTTTCTGTCCTACCTGTCGTTTTGGAGGCTTCAGGTCATCCCGGGGCACGATGTCGATCAGGAAGTCAAACTGGTCGAATTTTGTTATTGCCATGGCAATGTCGTTCCTCTGAGACAAGAGACGAAGTGACAGAGTGAGGAGGTCGGACTTCAATTATGCTAAAGCAATATATACAGCACTCTATATATAACCATGCCTCCTGGTCTAAGGTCAACATTCCCCAAATAGCCCCACGAGAGGGCTACCGTGGAACAGAAATAAAGTTCCTGGTAGGACTGGAACAGGTTTTTGCTTTGATAACTGATCTCACAGGAAGAGAGGGTAAGTTTAGAGTGGAAACCAAAAGTCAACAGAAAGTTATTCTGCAACTACTTCAATATGATATTAAATTGTTAAAACTACTTTTCAGGCAAATAGTGTTGACAATTAGATTGTTCCAGCTTCCTGTGTGTGAGCATTTCTTGGTTTGGGGCATTGAACAGGTGGTAGAAAATGATAAGCAACTTCGATGTGTCACCTCTGGTTCATGGAAACTGATTTACATGTTACACAATTTTCTGATATTTTAATAACAAAAAAATCAAGAAAATAGTTTCTCAATTTAAAATGTAACTGTTCAGTACGACATCCATGGTTCAGTACGCGCTTGTGAATTGCGGTCTTTTGGGTTTTGCTACAACAAGCTGCCCTGCATTGGCACTGTTTGTGTAGCCTGTGAGTCCAATCCATGAGCTGGGAGTTAATATCAAATCATTACGCGTTAAAGTTGGGGAAGGCTGAAAACACTGGTGTCAGATTTCAAACATTACTTTTACATAGTAAGCAGTGAGGAGAGGCAGCAGTATGAGGAAACACAGTGGTGAGGGTGCGTTTCGGTTTCAGTGTTGAGTATAATGAGGAAGAGAAAACAGTAAACACACAAATGACCGACTGCAAACTTTGTTTTACACGTGTCACCTACTCAAATGGAAACACTTAGAGAGGATTGGAAGTTTACAGCAGCAGAGCAGACTACAGCAGGCTGTAATGTTAGTACCATGAAGCCACTGATTATTGTCGGACTCGCATGCAGCCACCAGCTGATCGCTGCATAATGAAGACAAGGTGAGAGTGAATGGAGAAAAGACGACACAGCGTTTACAACAAAGAGACAATACATAATAAATATAAACGCTTCATGACCTATTCTGTTTGAACATTCGCAAAAAAATACAAAATAAAATACTGAAATGTCTTTCTATTTGTACAGCATATCTACAGGGCACCCTACTGAAGTGCCGTCTTCTTTTCACTGAGAATATACACCTAAAACTCCTAGGAATGGAAGAGGCTACCAAAAAAAAAAAAAAAAACACTCTGCTCAGGTTCTCAGAACCGAAACCAAAAACCGTGAGGAAAACACTGAGGTCTGTGGGCTGACTGTATTGTTGCATCGCTAATCAGCATACTGGGTGGAAATGGATAGGAATGATGCTTTCATCTAGGCCTTCCGCATACGCAAAATACATACAATAAAATTGTTATTGCACACTTTTTCTGCATTGCGATCACAATATGAAGTGTGATGAACAAAAATGAAATAGTGCATGTTAGCTATGACTCAGAGTTTTATGTCTACCTACTTATTCTTCATGCTTTACACAAAACCTGTTTGCAGTGTTTTATTCTGAATTCAAAACAAAGACAAAAAGCTGTTTTTTTTATTTATTATATGCCAAAATGATACTGAGGTTCCACGTAGCTAGCTTAAGCTTCATTTGTAATCATCAAAATGGTGTGAAAACATTCCCATTATACGCACGCGTTGAATAAGATTTCAAATGTATTCATGCTGAGGGAGAAAGCTTTAGATTACACAAGATACTTGATCTAATTTTAATGCAATAAATTCAGACTTGTGATTGGTTAATTGCAAAATGTCATATAGTGATAATATCATTACAATTCATTGCGCAGCCCTACTTTCCTCCCTTCATGAACGCAGGCTCTGTTGCTTCACCCCTTCCTATATCCACAGCAGTGAACTGCCTCTGTGGAATTTTCCACAGGATATTGGCTGTCAGGACCCCCCCATTGTGTCCCTCCCTGCACTAGAGGCTATTTATAGGAGCTTGATTAATATCTGACAACACCAGGTCACATCTACACTTGTTCTATTGATGAGCGTTGCTATGGTGATTCCAGCTGGCGTGCCCTCTTCACAATAGGACTCATGCTCTGCTTTAACTCACTTAAGCAAAAGGAAATCACATATTCACAAGCTCACACGTACCTAACGCGTCATCCAGGGTGTAAAAGGTTATTAACATGTAAACATGCAGAGTAAATCAAGTTTCCACTGAAAGCAGAAGGTGTAGAAAGAAGGGGTTTATGCTTCAAAACAAAAAGGATGTCGAAATAACAGCAAAGAGCACACATTTCCAAAGTAGGTTTTCAATTTAAGACTAGCTGTGATGGGAGTTATAAAAAAAATGTTTCTCCCAGTTGCTGTTTCTACCTGCGTTGGCACACACACACATATCCATGGACTGCTAATCTCTCAAAGGTATGTGAATGGATAAAGTGGACTTAAGGGCTTTTATGTTCTGCTCCAAAGTTTTCCCCTTCTTGATGTTCAGGTGAGACAAGCTTTGTCTGATTTCTCCCCAACTGGTCAACGTTTTCTCTCATTCTCTTCTTCTTTTTACCTCTCACATCTTTTAGAGTCCGTTTTTATTTAAGTTTGGGACAGCAGAGCGGGCAAAATGGCACCAGAGGGAAAAGTGGGTCAAATGCCCCAAACTGGCTTTTATTTTAAAGTCAATGGTGAAATTAAGAACTCCACTCAGACGGATAGTCCTCGGGGGGGATGCTGATATGACGACTCTTCTTGTTTACAGATTCACTTTTTTAAGCGACAAAGCAAGAAGGCGACATACAGCATGATATTTGATTACCTGCAGAATATTGTCTTTTTCTTTATTTAATTCACTGTCATCTTCTTTAATGGCCAATGAACTTCTGTTCACATTAACTTCATTCATGTCCTTAGCCCCGCTGAGAGGAGAAATATTAATATTTATCACCAGTGATTCAATTAATGCATCACTAGATTCCGGAAGAGGAAATTAGTGGGTCGATGGATTTCCTCAAGTGAAGCCTGCTCTGACCAATGAAAACACGGGTTGTACAAGGTGGACATGAAGGAGTGAAAGACAGATGACAAAAAACCCCATCTAAGTCAGAGTTTCTGACCTGTAGCGTGCGCCTCTTGTTGTCCTCGGTGTGGATCCACGCTCTGAGGGTGAGCTCTGTGATGAAGATCTGAGCTGCCTTAGCAAACAGGACTGGAGCCTCTGCACTGATCATCTGAAGGGAAGAGATGGAGTTACAAATAGTTAAAAAAAAAAACACCCACAGACTATCAAACATCAATCACATAACAGATACAACATGAATCACTCAGAACCTGAGCACCAAAGAACTGTGTTACATCCACAGGTTGCTGTAAAATAAGCAATGCCTCCATTCATTTGTTTAAAAACCAAAACATGAGAATGGAAGAACACCACTCAGGAAGAACTATATTACTTGGCAGAGGGAAGTCATTATTATTCACTGAAACACCTAAACATGTCAACCTTTTTAGAGTTTATTGTCAACAGTGTTTGTCCTCAACTACGTCTCTTCAGTAGGAAACCCTCTGTTCTCAAGGCTTCTAAAGGCATATTAATGTTCACATCATAATGCATTCCACTTTCAGACAAAGCCATGCAACTTTTAGAGAATATGTAAATATATAAGGTATGTAAAGGCTGAAGGTGCATGACATACTGTAAGAACATCCCACCACTCGCACAGACAGAGAAGTGAAAGCTGCGTCAAAGGTGACAGAAGGGTCTTGTCTACAAATATGTTAGCGATTTGCTGATCTCTTTACCACTTTAAGCTCCTGCTTAACTAAGGGCATAGCGCTCTTGACACGACACATTGAAGCCACACACACACACTGGGTTACACCTGTAGTGATGGAAGAAAACGTGTGTAATATGTGAAATACATCTTACAAGTTAATTATGCCTGAATCTCCTTTTTTTTTTTTTTTTTTTTATCCTAAACCGACATAATGACATAATAAAGTGGTATAAAAAGTTTTGCAATTTCACTGATGACCCTTTACTGTTTGGTTCTACACTCTACTCATATATTTCTTTTAATTATCAGACAGTTCTGATGAGGGCTGGGAATCTTTGGGTGTCCTACGTTTCGATTTCGAGTCAGGATTCGATTCAGAATCTATTTTCAAATCTAAACTAATCTGGATTCATGAGTCAAAGTCTATTTTTGAATTAGTACATACTTCAGGATCTACTCCAGTCATCTGTGAGACTGGCTGGAAGTCTTGCTCCATTTGGCATTCTACTAAATTAAAGAGCTAGCCTTAGCACTTAGCAGGGAGTGACTGATTAGCCCCCCAAATAATCCATATTTGGAAGTTATGAATCTATTCAAAATCTCAGAAGATAACAATCTTGATTTTTTCCCCCCCCACATGTAGTTCTGATAGTAAAAAAGCTGATCATATTATCCCATTATAAATGAACAGGCTTTTCATTTATAATGGGACTAAAACAAAACAAAACAAAAAAAACAAGACCTTGATAGTTAACAGAAAACTAAAGTAAATGATATGCCATGCATTATACCATTAATATATATTAAATCATGTGTCAAAGTATGGAAGTAAAAATCAACCTAGACCATGCTGCCCCCCCCCCTTCTTACCTTGACATCCTCATCCAGCTTCATGATCTTTTTGATTCGGGCTAGAGGTAACTCCTGCACGCGAAAATCCTTCTAGAAATAAGGGATGAGTGGTCAACCAGTGAAATAGAACAAAGATGTTTTAAAAATAGTGTTAATAGGGTCTTCTAGGGGTGCCAGTAGCGTAGTGGTTAGTGTGCACAAGCCATGTACAGAGGCTTTAGTCCTCCAAGTGGGTAGCCTGACACACACACACACACACACACACACACACACACACACACACACACACACACACACACACACACACACACACACACACACACACACACACACACACACACACACACACACACACACACACACACACACACACACACACACACACACACACACACACACACACACACACACACACACACACACACACACACACACACACACCACACACACACACACACACACACACCACACACACACACACACACACACACACACACACACACACACACACACACACACACCACACACACACACACACACACACACACACACACACACACACACACACACACACGGTCTTATGAACCCGATATTGTGTATGGTATTGTTTAGTATAAACCATTACATCTTAGTGTTATTTTCTGTATGGAATGGGTGTATGACGGTTTAAATGGTAGCGTACCACAGTGAGGTTCCTGATCTCCTCCATGACACGAGGCCAGAAGGACTGAAGAGTTTGCTGGGCATCGCTGCCCCCGGCTCCAAACGCATCTGCAGACATCTTCTACTCGGCTGTAACAAGAACGGAGAGGAGCATGCACGTTAATTACTAGGGAGCCCAAAAGATGTGATTTTACATTTAATACACCAAAGACAGCACACAGAAAACACTCAGTCCATCATGCCAGACCTGTGCTTCCCTAAATACTTCCTGAGTGAGAGAACCACACACCCTCTCATAGCCTGCAATTATGATACAATAAAATCTAAAAAAGAGCCTCAACTTTCTCTATTCTCATTCCTGTGGGATGTTACCCAGGAACTCTCTCCTTGATTAGGAATAGCTCTATCACCTTAAGCCACGACAGCAACTCCTCTACAAGTAAGCATGTCATGTGCAAATCAAACACTGTTGGTGACCCCACACACTGAGGACAAAGTTTAAAGCACAGATCGAAATAGACTCGTGTGGTAATGTTTTCATATGCTGCATTGCAAGCTGTGAACGCACACAGACATGACTAAGGAGAAAAAACTTGATAAATTAAATAAAGCAACTTTTCCACACGTTTGTAGACATTTAGTTTCTACAAGGGGTGTGACGGTTTGAAAGAGGATCCAGCAGGTTACTATGGCATGCCAGGAATCTGCTGGGGGAATATTGGCCTGCCTGTCTGAGCATGCAGAGCTTGGAGTGTCTGGATCGCACTCCCCCTCGTTTTTTCCCCTTACCTCAGTGAAAAGATTTGGCAGAAAGGAGAAGAAAACGAGAGACACCAGGGTTAGGAGGGGGTGGCGAACAAGGGATGAGTGTGTGGAGCTACTCAAGAGAGACGGGGGCGTCTGTTTGTGTGTGTAGCTGAGGGAGGGGTAGTGCCATGTCCAGTTTAGTATTAATCCAGCGCTAAGACAAAGTGCCAAAGGCTTTTATCAGGGGGAGGTAAGAGGGACGGACAGGGTCGCCGTCAGACTGATGGGCAAACTAGCAATGTGGGTCAAACGGGACCGAAAGAGGGAGACGCGGCGTGAAAGAGGGAGACTTGACAGAACAAAGAAACAAGTGTAAGAAGAGATTGGGGGTCTCCTCTTTATCTTCCTTTCTTTTCTCACATCGAGAATGAACGGCTCCAACTCCGGCCTTGCTAAAGACAGCTTCACACTCCACCAGTCTGACTCCATAACTCATTGTAGTCTCTTGCCCCTGATGCAGGGGACTTTTCGGACTTTGGTCCATGTCAGCTCCCTTATTCATACCACTTAAGAGCAGTTGTAAATATTTTACACGGATAAATCACTAATTCAGAAAGCTGGCCCTTCACCTGATTGATTTTTGACAGCAGAGATTGCCTCTCTGGCAGTTGCTGAAGTTACTGAATAATAAAGAAGCAGCAGCCCTGCATCCTGTTCTGTCATTCAGTTTTGGACAGAGAGTAGCCTAAATCAATGAGACAGAATGGCAGTGGGGGGGGGGGGGGGGGTCAGCTTTATATAAATCAATCAGGCTGCTTGTAGCGATGGCATGCCAGGCGAATGATTGACCTTGACTGTGTCTCCCTCTCCCTCTGCTTGACGCTCCAGTGTCCAGTTGCATTTCAAGGTTGATTGAAATCCTGCAGTCACTAGAACAATCCCAGCATTCCATGGGGCGGGTATGGCTGATGGGAATTGTAGTTTTTCTCCTCTGCTCTGATTGATTGAAATGACCTCTGGGAGGTTTTTTGTGGCATCTGTGTGCCATACAA